TCTTACTCTTGTTCATTTGAAAGTTTCCTCTTCTTGTTATTCACCAGAATTCTGCCCTTCCTTCTCTTTTCACTCCACATATTTTCCCTACATCAGCTTCTACGTGCCCGTGGCTTTTTCTATCACCCACGGTGGTGGCACCCCACCTTCCACTCTCTCTTGCATGGATTTTTTTAAATGGTTGGCTAACTGGTCTCTGCTGTGAGTCTCCATTTGACATCCCTCCATTTTCCAAACCTATCCTACATATTGCTGCCAAAGTTGTCTAACCGAGGATGTGGTTCTCTTCAAAATCACCTTCAGACTGTCTTAAACCAGACCTGCAGGCTCCACTGAGAGCTGACTCAGTAGGTTTGGGGTAGGGCTCAAAATTTTCCGTTTCTAACAAGTTCCCGGTTAGATGATGCCGATGCTGCTGGTGGATAACTCTTTCAGAACCCTTGACCTGAGAACCCGCTGGGTTATAATTTCTCAGCTTAAAATCTTTCATTAGCTGTCTTCCGCCTACAAAAAGTTCCCAGACCTATCTGCTTAAAAATCACCTGTGTGCACCACATTGCCAGCAATGGGATGTGTTACAACAGCAGATGCCAAGAGTTAAGCTAATGTTTTTCTCTAAAGTACATCTGAAATAGAAAAATCTTTAATATATACCATGTGTAAACAAAATTGCACTTGATTTTACTTTTCAAAATGATCTGAATTACACTGTAACAGTTTCTTTCTCTCCCTTGCTCTTTTTTAATTATTGGTAAAACCAGAATTTTGTTCTACATAGAAAGTTCATGGCATTTTTTAATATGAGGAATTTTAACAAAATCTTTAAAAAATTACGTGTGAAAGGTGTGTATTATTGGGCTTCACCCTCAAGATGTTGCCTTAGAAAGTCTGATGCCGTATCCAAGGATCACCCCTTTGAGAACCTACAATCTACAAACCCCTTAATGTGGAATGCAAGTCCTTCTCTATTCCTTGCCTACCTCTCCCGCATTATTGAACTCGTTATTTAAAAACCAAGTGCAAACTCATGCCTCGACTTTTTGTATATCCTGCTCTCACTGCATGAACCCCACCTTCCTCACCCATGTGGCAATCATCTAGTCCTCCCCCAAAATGCACCATGTTACTGCTGCAAAAAAGCCTTCCAAAGAGGCTGCTCACCCTCTTTTCTGCCTCTCCTCTGTATCTTGCATATATTTCCTTTACTGAACACCTTTGTGTTACAATTATTGACTTGTTTGCCTTCTATTAAACTCTTAACATCACTCTCTTTGGCACCCACAGTGTCTGGCATAGATACTCAGTAAACAGAAATGGGTGGTGAGGTGGTGGTGACTGATAGGGAGCGGAGGGAAGGAAGCTTAGGGAATACAATATGGAACCAGAGTAAACAGAATATTGAAGAACATTTTCACCATGCTCATGCCTTGAATGACCCACCTCTGACACATTTACCCACCTTAAGCCACCCAGATAACTAAAACTGGTCAAGCATCTTTTCCTTTCCCTGTATCCCAAGTTCACCCAATTGATCCTTTTTTTTCCAACACACCATTTACTTTCCCAACATATAAACAATTACCTTAAAAAAAGGGGGCCTTCTTTAATGGGCATGTACCTCCTCCTATCACTAAGCAAGATGGTATTCTTTCACATGATCTGTAAATCACAGGTCACACAGGTAACTGGTAATTTTTCTCTCCCTATCAGAATGTGATACCTACAAAGGACAGCTGAAATGAGCCAGAGCATGATGAACTGAAGGGTTTAATTTTTCTTTCTTACATTCTTTCATTTGTTTAGTCAACCTGGCATCTGGTTCTCCTGTGCTGCTCCTTTAGGATATGGCCAAGACAGGTCAAACTAGAAGGGGGAATGCTGTCAGCTTACAAGACTAGTCTATGATCTCTAATCAGTTCATCTGGGCTACTTTTCAATGAAAGAGCCAACTTGGGACTGTTTTGATGAGACATCCTTATGTGCAGGCCACCCATTTTGCTTTTAGCTGTCAAGTAATCTCATCAAAATGTTTGTCAAAAGAAGCATATCTTTAAGATTCTAAGGAAAGATGACAGCTTTCCCACCCTCTCCCACCCCAAGAACCACCATAGTTAGGCTGAACCACTTCACATAAAAATACAATACACTGGTTATCTTACTATTTCCCCAATATGCCAAAATTGTTCCCACCTCAGGGCACTGCCCTTGCTGTTACTATAACATGGAATTCTCCCCAAAGCTACTTACATGGCTCAGTCTTGCTTCTGGTCTTTGCTCAAAAATCATCTCAGAGATGCCTTCTAGCAATGCTATTCATTATACTTCCTATTTTCTTGCCCTGATTTATCTTCTCTTGACCACACTACTACCAGGAGACATTATAAATTTGTTTATGGCACCATTTACATCTGTACCCCCTAATCCCCATATTGTAAACTATGAGGGTAGGGTTTTGCAGTTCTTATTCACAAGACTATGTCCTCCAATGCCTAATATAGTGCCTAGTGGTCAATAAAGATTTTTTTGTTTTGTTTTCTTGTTAAACCTCACCTAAGGGTATTTTTCCCATTGCTTTTCAGAGAGAGTGGAAGGGAGGGGGAGACACAGAGAGAGAAAAACATCAATGTGAGAGAGACACATCAATTGGTTGCCTCCTGCTCACCCAGGATCAAGCCTGCAACCTAGATATGTGCCCTTGGCTGGAATCGAACCTGGGACCCTTCAGTCCATGAGCCAACACTCTATCCACTGAACCAAATCAGCAAAGGCAATACATATTTTTTGGAATGGCCAAATAGACTCAGACTGAATGCCAAATAGTTTTACTTTAAAAAAAAAAAAGTATATGAGGCAAAATATTTAAGGCAAAAATTATTGATTTAAACATAGCAGTCACCGTGGGTAGCTGTATACACACCTACTACTCACAATGCTGCCTTTGCTAAAACCTGCTGGGAATTCTGCAAGAATTGTTTTCAGAGCAAGTTGATGAATTACATGATTGATCTTCTTACTACATATTGTGTTTCACCAGCTTCACAAAGTAAAAAAACCCAACCGAGAACAGAAATATAAGAATATACTGAGGCTCTCAGACAAGGCCTCAGAAGTTTGGATGATTGGTGACATCAGTTGACTAAGTATATTACATCTCAAGAACATGGACTGAAAAGGGTTAATGCTCACAAACATGAATATTCCGGGTGTGAAATTAAACACACACATTTTGGGCACAGACCAAATTATTAGAGGACAAAAAAGTAATTTCTTAGAATTTACTTCCACTCATAACTTCAAACATGCCACCGTGCATGGGCTGCTGCTAAACTGTGTCTATGACTATTTAGCAGAGGACTTGCCCATTCTCCCAGGTACCTAATGTTTTCAACCTGCCCACACTCCAGCCCACATGGCACGTGCACTCATGTTCTCCCACTGATCTGGCCAGTCTTAAAGACTTTCTGTCTTAAAAAGTATTATTTCAAATAGCTAAAAACAAAAAGATAATCTTAGAGGCAAAAGAAATAAAAGAACAGGGAAGACGACAGCAATATCCTGAGATTTAGGACAGTAGCTTATTCAAAAGTATATTTAAATGGTATAGGGCAGAAGAGATCACTGAGTTTCTACCTCCGAAATGCTTCCTCCCGGTAGGCAACAAAGAGAATCCCACTCAGGACTATGTACAACCTACTCTTTCCCCCGCACATTCTAACTCTATTAGCCAACTGAAGAAAGAATGGGTGTTGGCAGGCAACTCCACTGATCTCCCTTTCTGTAGCAATAAGGCCGACTGAAGACTAACGATAACTAGAAGGATTGAAAGAAAAGTGAACACTGCAAAGTATGATGTCAAGAGATATATGACATGTGTTCATAAATGAATGCGTTATTCTGAAGCCATACAAACAAATCAATTTCTTTACTGGAGAGGCACACCTCTCAGATGTATATTATTCAAATGTACTAACACATGAAAGATCACATCACCTTGTTTATGGATACATTTAATATCCCTTACCCTTCCCACTTTCGAAACATAATAGTATACAAAATATAAAATATCTTAAATATTTATAAAAATCGCAAGAAAAAAAATAGAACGTATGAAAAATATTTTTATCTGAGTTCTCCCTCATTGTTGAGAGGCAGCTTAGTTTGCCTTCAGTTCATAACTGTTGAGTGGATAGGAGTATGCCCTGCCTAATACGATTCTGTCCCGGAGAAGCTTAAATAGAACATAGTAGTTGCAGAAGAGGATGAGAGCCATGGAAAGCGTGTGGTTCCACTTCTCCGACCGCAGTAAGGAATAGAGCTGGTAGAAGACGACACTGCCCTCAATGAGGATAAGCAGATTCAACAGCCTTAATGGACGATGAAACAGGAACTGTAAGGAAATTTAAAAAGAAAATGTTATTTCATAGAGATAGACTATAATTGTTCTCACTTTTCCTAAAATAATCTCATATTTATAGGTTCCTCTATGCCATAAAAATGGATCTGCTTACTAAGTGTCAGCCAGGCTATTTCTTATGGTAGAGACCCAAACCTTTTCCTTTTTGCTCAAAATTTATTGATGAAATAAATTTTATTTCAATACCCCTGAGATACAAAGAGGGATTATACCTAAAAGAACTCTGCCTCTGAAGATTTTTCTTAGATTATATTTTAGGTATATATTTTGAGATAACCAAAAGTATATTTAGTATATAGGAGCTAGATAAAGGACCAAATGGGAAATATTTTAGACTTAGCAAGTCAAGAGGCAAAAAACTGAGGATATTATGTAGGTACTTATATAACCATTTAAGACATAACCATTTAAAATTCAATGTGAGTTTGTGGGCTAGTCCAAGACAAATTGAAATATCAATACAATATTTTATTAATTTATCTTTAAGATTTTTTTTACCCACCATGGTCACTGACTCAAATCCTCTACACCACTTATTTCTAGTGTTTTGTTTTGTTTTTCTGGATATCAAGAAGAAGAATGCAGAAACACAGGACAATGAGGAAGAAAGGAAAAATTAGTCATAAATAGAGTTTGGCTAAAAACAGGGCTCAATTTTTTCACTTCAACCAAATTCTTCACTCTAAGAGACTAAATCCTGGTTTACTTATAAAAATGCATTAATGAATAGAAACACAGAAGTTACAGGTAGCAAATTGCTATATGGTAGTATATCACATCTAAAAGAACTAATTTAGATCTCAAATCTGAGAATCAAGCCAAATTATCATGATAGCTCTAAAAGATAGCCAGCTTCTCAGGGTCCTTTGGAAGAAAGAAAATGTTTAACCTGGGTTTTTTACATGATATCCAGAAGTATCCTGTATAAAAATTGGCTCAGAATTAATATTCTTAATGGACTCAGTCAATTTCAGATTGTATGGCAATTATAACAATTATAATTAAATGTGCTAATAAGCTATAAACTGAATGAGTAAAAAAGGTGAGTACAGGCTTTAAATTTTAACAGCTATAGGTCACAGGGACATTTTAAATGAGTTTTCTCAAATGTCAGTGTGCCTGAGAATCATTTCCAAACATGTAAATGCTGCAAATTCCCGGGATCCTTCAGAGATTCTGACTCAGAAGGCTGAGGCTGCAGCCTCCGTCACTGGTTTTAAAGGGTGAGCCAGGTGACATATGCAAGTGGCCCAAGGACCACTTTGAGAAGCACTGATTTACCTGTTTGGTCATGCACAATCAGTAATAAATTAACATTCCTAAAACTCCTTTGGATTCCATCCAATTCTCCAGCTGTCCAGTGCTAGCAAGGAAAATACTTATTTTCAATCAGAAAATTCTAATACAACATCTGGTTACTGTAGGTTTCCAGGGGACAGCGAGGGCCAACAGAATTAATGGCCTCTGGGATTCAGCTGGCTGAATTAAATACTCTGCACAGAAACCAAATGCTTATGCAGTGTGACTTAAGTCCACTCCTCCATCGTAAGGCAATCCCACAGGAGGTCAGGAGATGCTTATAGTTTCCTCACTCAAGGGTCTTTCACCTTCCGCATGCTCCTCCCAACCTCCACCCTGCCCCACCCTTCCTGGTATTTACAAACATCCTGCCCTGATTCAAGTCTACATATTTAATTGCAAGACCCTTAGTAGCAAACACCTGCAGAACTAGAAAGGTCATGTACCCTCACAAGAAGCATAGTAGGAAGGGAGAAAAGAATACAGGTATCTCAAAACAATGGTCTCCAATTATTTTTTAGAATATGATCTCCATTTAAAGGTAATGCACTGCACTATGGGCATTTTTATTAAGAACGGTCCCTGCATGCACCTTCTTTCCCCATTCTCATTGGTCATCTGGCCTTTCTCAGATAAGTAAACACTTCTGTCCCCTAGAGCCAGAATTTCTGGAAAACTGAAAGATCAAGAACATAACCCAAGGCATAAATTCAAATGGAAGAGAAGCTGTGTTTAGTGGATGTCTATTGCTTTTTCCTTTTTAACTTTTAAGCCTTTTTCCCTTTTAATGCAGAAAAAAGTTAGGCTTCAGATCATGGCATTTGTCTGACTTTCCAAAGGGAAGTCAAGGTATTTTAAGGAGATGATACATATCACAGATAAAAAAACAAAAACAGAAAAACAAAACCCATCCCATTACATTACTATATTAAATATTGCTTAAGGATACACAGATACAATATAATAAGGATACCATTAAATCAAACTATTACAAATAAAAATTATAAGATGAAAAAGGCAAGTCTTAAGTAACTGTCTACTCATATCAAGTAATACTACTAGACTCAACAAATTCTAATGTAACTAGGGAAACAAGTTGAAGCTGGGATAATGGTATTTGACCTTGAAGCTGCCTTTCAGAAGACAGTTCCAAAGGACAATGGCCATTATTATAGAAGCAATAATTACCATGTACTAATTCCCTAGTATGTGCTACACACACACAGGCCTCCTAAACTTACCCCTAAGCTTATGTTTGAAAAGAAATAAGCGGTACTTGCATAAAAGCGGGCATGGGATACATCGGAAGGCACTGCCACGTTGTAGGGCCCCATGGCTCTATATAAGCATCTGCTATGTCGCACCAGCACCCCTTGAGGCCATATTGTGTTTTCTGACCAACTAAGGGAGAAAGAAATGCAATGTTAGCATACTGGCAATTACAGATAAGGTAGTGTCTGGCAAGCCAGCTATACGTCTATGGAAGAAATTAAGTATTTCAGGCTTCATCTGCCTGAATTCTGAAAAAACAGTTTCCCATGGTCAAACTGGAAGGAGTTAAAAAGGATTTGTTATTATAACTTCATTGCTACACAGCAGAGAGAAGCTGCAAAGTGATACAGCTTGCTCAGTGGCAAAGGACTAAGAGGCTTAGGAGACAAGCAAAAATAAATGTGTAAGTAAGGCATCTAAGAGCCAGAAAATCAAATGTAAGCAAGTGGATTGTCATCTGAATCCCATGTGAGCAGAGTCTACTGGTGGAAATGCTAGAGGGAACAAACAAGACGAGAAAGTGGATGGCTATAACAGGAGTGGAGAAATTAACAGGTTGTCAAGTTAGCATGACATGTACTGCAGAATTATAACCCAAAGAGCTACATAGAAAATCAGTTTATCACATACTTGGAACACTTCACATATGCAAGAAGCTAGATAGAAGAACACAGAGACACACAAGGTATAGGCACAGACTTCTCTTGTTACTGCTTTCTTGGTTTATTTTTATAGAGGTTTCTCTAGGAAAAAGAAATTATGGAAGAAGCTTCATTCTTTCCAGCACCAATGTAATGGAGTTGGGGTGGGGATGGGAATTTTCAGGTTAAGCTTTTTAAAAAAAACTAAGTTAATTCATGTCTTCCTGATTTTGGAAAAGTTAGTTTCCTAAGAGAAGAACTGGGACAGCATTTTAGATATGTTAAAAAAAATTCTAGCACCCTGAAGCTTTCCCAGTTCAGAAAATGTTCCGTCAGCCTTGCTCACACTTACCAGCATTAAAGTGACGATACACCTCATGGCCATGTGCCATCAGGAGCCTGAAGATGTACAGTACTAGTACTGTGGATTGTATTTTCAATTTTTATTGAAATTTGTCCTTTGCCCACAGTCGGGTTTCTCTCAGCCTGGCCCAATCTCTTTCAGTTCCTGGGCTTGAAGGCCTGTGCTAATCTGTATCAGACATCAAGGCAGATAATTGAAGGGAGGACTGTGAAGGGGGGAGGGGAAGGGAAGGTCACCTCAATCTGTCCCACTTAATTAGGGAAGAATTTCTAGGTGATGAAATTGTGAAATGTTCAAATTATAAAAAGGGAGGAAGATGAAGATGGTCCAGATCTGAGAGAAAGGCATGATGAAGGCTCATTAGTGAGAGAAAAAAAGGGTTATAAAGTTAGCCATTTTGGGTCAGAGGAACCATGCAGAGAAATGACTGACAAGGGGACACAATGAAAAGAATACTCAGAGAGAAATCAATTGGAGGCAGTTTTCATTAAATACTGGAAAAGTAGGGAAATATTCATCAGCAAGTTTGGAAAGAAAAAAATTAATTAAAAGTACAGAAAAAATACAAACTTGCATTTATTAGAAAGAAAAGATGAGAGAAGGAAATTCCAGCTACCTAAGCGTGAGATGATTAGCTAGCACCTGTTTAGCTGTGGCAATGAAGATGAAAAGATGATCTTATAGTCTTTTAAAGAGAATTAAAAATATATCATGACTCTGAATTTGGGCAAAGGGTTAAGACTGAAAGAAAACTCCAAGATTATAGCTTGGGAAACAAATTAGACACTCTAGAGTGATTGGGCAGTTCAAAGGTAGGAGGCATTTAAGAAGGGACTAAGGATGGTGGTGGAAATGAGTTAATGTCCCCTGTGCTCAGTTTAGAGTGATGACAAGCATCCATGTAGACAAAAACTAAAAATTAAATGTTCAAAGCCAAGAACAAGAATGACATACAAAGCAAATAAACATGACCAGCAGCATGTAGAAAGGTGTTATATGGTTTTACCCTCTGGCCTACTCACATGTGCTGTGGAGCATTGCTGTAGGACCCATGTTCAAGCTTCTGCCACTTGCCCAGATGAGCAGCTGATTTATGTAGCAAATCGCAGTATTTGGATGGCAGCAGCTGTGTGGTAAGCATGACAAAAGCATTGATCCATACCATAATGAGGTGCTCGCACGACCAGCGCATGTCATAGTACTGGGTACTCTGGAAGAGATTAGAAGAGAGAGAAATGACCCATGTACCAGTGAACGAGAAGGCAGAGATGGGTGTGTGTACATATGCCCTGCAGACAAATGCCACACTGAGTCACACATGCACTGGTTGTCTGCTGTCCGTGCAGAAAGTTCAAGAGCAGGCTCCTCCAAAATCCTTCAACCTGACTTTCTGACTGTGTGAGTTAGGGCTGGGAGGGAGAGGCAATTGTATCTTAAGTGCTTCCTTTCTGGAAGAAGTGAGAGCTCTCTGAGAATGACCACTCCGGCTGCAGATGTGCTTCTCAACAAGTGAAGGAAAGGCACTAAAATGTGCCAAAGGATTTTGGGCCCAGTGACATCCAGACCATTTTTCTTTTCTACTGAAGTAAATTGAAGTTTAGATAGAGGTTAGATTAAAATCAAAGAAACTCCTGATAACCATGTTAAGATCAATCACAGTAGGCTAAATTTTATTGAACCTTGGTCCTCTTTTAAACTACTATATACTAATACTATTATAAGTACAAGTTTTATTCTCCCGGGAAACTGAAAGGAAAAAAACTTTAAAAAAAGGGGGGGGAGGGGAAGAAAAAAAGAAGGGGCCACCACGGGTGCATCACATATATGGAAATACCTATCCGCCAACCAGGAGCGGTATTAGTGCACTCCAGATGCAGCCGAACTCCACCATCCAGGCTGCCAAGGGGGAGACAGAGAAAAGGGGGATTAAATAAGAAATACCCAGTTTATGTCATTCACACACAAATCGAGGAAGCACATATAACCACTTACCTTCACAAAACACAGGGGGAGAAATGCAACATAGTAGGCACTGAAGAGGGAGTTGAAGAGAACTTCCTTGATTCTGTGGTTGAAATCTGCTTTCAGACATTCTACTTCATTGCGAATGAGGTCTGGAGATAAAGGGCAGCTGTGGGTGGGGATGGGTGTGGCATTATTAAATTGTTCTTTGAGAGACTCCAGCAATAAGGAGAGGAAGTCTTTGGATTTGGCCAAGCCACCCACAGTTGAGGCACTTTCCTCTACTGCCTGGTGTTGAACCACGTAGTTATAGTCTGTGAGAAGAAGATGAGCTCTACTATCTTGGTGGAAACAGCAGAGAGGAACATAAACACCAAACCTGCAGAAAAAGGTGAACATGAAAATAAGGCCACAGATGCCACCTCACATAGATCTCATAACTATGTTAGTAAAACAGTCATGATCCACCAGAGTGAACATAATATATCGGGAATTTTGCTGATGAAAAATTCATTATTTGGGAAGCTCTTTAACTCATTTCTTCCCACAAAGGCAATGTATATTCATTGTAGATAAAAGAAAACTACAGAAAATCAGAATGACAAAATATTAATCACCTAAAAATAATCATTTTTATAATTAGGTGCACAGACTTTTTACTTTTTTCTATGTTTAGCATCATACAGTATGAACTTTTATATCCTGCTGTTTTAACTTTGGGTGTATTGAGCATTTTCTGTCATTAAGTACTTTTCTGTAACAATTTTTAAAGACACTATAGTATTTTCATAGAATTGTACTATAATTTATCCATTTCTCTCTTTCTGGAAACCTACGCTGTTTCTTATTTCCCACTACCATAAATATCAATGGGATAAGCACTTTCCTACACAGATCTTTGTGTACATCTGGTAATTTTCAAATAGCTTGCCCTTCACATAGTTTTCTTTCCTACTCAGGAGTTCCCTGCCTCTGCACTACATCACCCACCCACTCCCACAGGCACTCCTAATTCCCCTTGCCAGGTTATTTTTCTCCATAGAACTTACCACTCCATATATTTTACATGTTTATTATTTGGTGGGTTTTTTTCCCCTTTCGTCTATATTTCTTTCACTACAATGTAAACTCCATGAACCAGAGATTTTAGTCTGCTTAATCCACTGCTGTATCCTTGATGCCTAGAGTTGTGGCTGAATCATACTAGGCACTCAGTAACTATTTGATAAAATAATTTAAAAATTCCACAAGTATGATAAATTTCTACAAGCAGAATTACTTGGTTAAAGAACTGAATCTTTTTCATAACTTCTTATAGGTATTCCAAAGTTTGGTTCCTTTAAAATTTTTTTAAAATACGTCCCTAAGTCCTTATTAAGTAACCAGAGGCCTGGTACATGGAATTCATGCACAGGTAGGGTCCCTAGGCCTGGTCAGCGATCAGGGCCAATCAGGTTCCCCAGTTCCGAGCTGAGTTGTCTAATTACCTAAACAGACAGCCAGTCAATCCTACATGTGACTAATACTAGCTAGTGCTAGCCATTTTGATAATGGTAATCCTATTAAACTTGAACAAAGTATTCCTTGATATACTCATAATTAGCCTTTCAAATCAGATATAGTTAATCTTCTAACCCAGTGGTTCTCAACCTGTGGGTCACGACCCCTTTGGCGGTCAAACGACCCTTCCACAGGGGTCGCCTAAGACCATCCTGCATATCAGATATTTACATTACGATTCATAACAGTAGCAACATTACAGTTATGAAGTAGCAACGAAAATAATTTTATGGTTGGGTCACAACATGAGGAACTGTTCTAACAAAGGGCCAGAAGGTTGAGAACCACTGTTCTAACCGATTCAACCAGCTGTTGTTGGTAAATACAAAAATTATCTGTTTTCAACTCAAAGCACCTACAATGTTAATCTAGACATATAGAAACAGATTTATAATTGTTTACACAATATGATTAGACCTACTCACAGTACAATACAAAGCCCCTTCTTGCCATCCTTGCCCGCACAATCTGATTATGCCTTGATTTTATACTATGTGACTACCCATATAAATTCATGCTTACACTTAAGACCCATAAATGGTATAAAGCAATGATTCTTAAACTTGAACAAGTATCAGAATAATCTGGAGGTCATGTTAAAAGACAAATTGCTTGGCCTACTTTCTAGAGCAGTGATTCTCAACCTTCCTAATGTTGCGACCCTTTAATACAGTTCCTCATGTTGTGGTGACCCCCAACCATAAAATTATTTTCGTTGCTACTTCATAACTATAATTTTGCTACTGTTATGAATCGTAATGTAAATATCTGATATGCAGGATGTATTTTCATTGTTAAAAATTGAACATAATTAAAGCATAGTGATTAATCACAAAAACAATATGTAATTATATATGGTCTTAGGCGACCCCTGTGAAAGGGTCATTCGACCCCCAAAGGGGTCGCAACCCACAGGTTGAGAACCACTGTTCTAGAGTTTCTGTTTCAGTAGATTTGGGGTAGATTCTGAGAATTTCTATTTCTAGCAAACTTCCAGGAGATGTTGATGTTGCTGTTCTAGGAACCACACTTTGAACTACTGAATACAGAGAATGTAATGGTTAACAAGGGCTCTGGAATAAAAAAGACCTGAGACTTTCTCACTAACTGTCTGACCAGGGGTAAGTTTTTAAATCTCTTAATCTGTCTTTACCTTTGGCAAAGACTGCTAATTGTCTGCCAACAGCTACTGTTCTCCCGTTCTTTATAGCAACAGAATTTTTAGTTGAGATACACCTGACTTACTAAAGATAGCAGGAGCCTTAGACACCATGGAGCTGCCACAGCTATCCAAGATCACTTACACACATACTGTACAGCAGAGAGGAACAGATTTCTAACCTTTTAAAGCTAGTGATATTTTGAATCTGTTACAGCAGACTTAATACACTACCTCCTGAGTTACTGTGATGTTTTCATGAGGTGATATTTATAAACACTTACCCTAGCATTTAGCATATAAAAAGAGCTCAATAAATGTTTGCTATCTACTAATATCCAATGAAGAAAGTATTAGCTAGTATTATGCAAAGTAGTTAGTTTAATAAGCATAATAAGATACCATTATACACCCTTCATAAAGGCAAAAATTTAAAAAAACAGAAAACATCAATGTTGACAAAAATGTGGAGCAACCAGAACTCTTACTAGTAAAAATTGGTAGGAGGATAAAATGATACAACTTCTTTGAGAAAAGGTCTGGTAGGTTCTTATAAAACTTAATATAATCTTATCTTATGGCCTAGCAATGCCACACCTAGAAATTTCTCCCAAGAGAATGAAAATATATCTTTAGAAAAAAGACTTGTATAAGAATGTGCATAACAGTTTTATTTTTAATAAGAATCCCAAACTGGAAACAACCCAGGTATCCAAAAATAGGAAAATAAACAAATTGTGGTATATTCACACAATGAAATATTACTGACACATAAAATCACATGGATGAATCTGAAAAACAATATGCTGAGTAAAAGATACCTTACACAAAAGTGTACATACTGTATGATTCCTTTTATATGAAATTCAGAACAGGCAAACTAATCTATAGTAGAAATAAATCAAAACAATGGATGCCTCTGAGAACCAGGGGGTAGGGCTTGATTGGAATAAAGGAACCTTCAGAGTAATGATGTTCTATATTGGGATAGTAGTTTGAATTACACAGGTATTTATTTGTTTATAAAAATATGTTTTATTGTTTTTTTACAGAGAGGAAGGGAGAGGGATAGAGAGTTAGAAACATGGATGAGAGAGAAACATCGATCAGCTGCCTCCTGCACACCCCCTACTGGGGATGTGCCCATAGCCAAGGTACATGCCCTTGACCGGAATCGAACCAGGGACCTGTCAGTCCGCAGGCCAACACTCTATCCACTGAGCCAAACCAGTTAGGGCTACACAGGTATTTATTAAAGCTCGTAAATGTACATAAGATTTGTGAATTTTATTGTATTTGAATTCTACTTAAAAAAAAAAAAAGACTGTAACCAAATATCAAACTCTAGTTATTGATATGCATATGCTGACATTTTGTTTTATAATAAGATGTTGGTCAAAAAAAGTACCTAAGTTTATAGGGCTTCAATATGGCATACATTGTAACATGAACCCCAAGTTCAAAGTAATTTGACCAAAATGGTAAGACTGCTTTAGCCAGTTTATTCAACTAACATTAGTCATCACTTATGCCAATATAGCCAGTACTTTATTTGGTGAACAGAGTAAATTAAAACATATTCTCTATTGGTCAGAGAGCTATACTCCTCAGGCTTCCTGGGGCAGTCCTAGTGGATATCTAATTGTATCCCAGTTTAGAAAATAAATTATAAAGTCACCCTACTCACTGATTTTTGCAGTATTTCCTGGTTTATATTTGAAGAATTTCATTTTTCTCTCTTTTATACTCTCTTTATATACTGTCATCTGCATGACCCAAATCATTTCTTAAAAGACTTACTAATAAAATGGAAAAACTGGAGTACTCACGGGTAGCCAAGGAAAAGGAGATTGAGGACTGAATGGCTTCGGAAGAGATTGACGAGCGTCCAACAGAGCACCCATCCACACAGAGTGAGCAGCACCAAGCGAGCTGATATCAGAACCATGTAGTGAATCATAGATGCTGCACCCGCCTTAGTGGCCTACAAGTTTGGAAGCACCAAAAGGAACATTTTATAAATCACCTTATACAAAAACAATGTGACTCAAATAAGAACTTGGTAGATTTAGTGGAAGTTAAACTGTGCCAGAGAGAGAGAGAGAGAGAGAGAGAGAGAGAGAGAGAGAGAGAGAGAGAGAGAGAGAAAGAGAGAGAGAGAGAGAGATTGAGAAAAGGGAAAAGAAGAAAAACTGTACCACCACACCTAACTTCCTCATTCTTGAAGATTAAGACATCTCCAGGCAGTTAACTGTTCCCATAGTGCCTCATAGAGACCTTCTTTAAGTTCTTATGATATTATCTAATTATTTACATTGGGATTTCCCAAAGTACGGTCCATGAACTATATTCATCAGAATCACTTGGGTTGCTTACTGAACATGCTAATTCCTATTGACTTCCCTCATCAGATATAGGGACCAAAACCACAAGTCAAGGAACCTGTATTTTAATAACCCACCAAGGGACTTCTATGTACATAAAGATATTAATTTAGCTGACTCCAGACTAGATTATAATGACCTCAACAGTAGTAAGTTTCCATTTTTCTTTGACTCCTTCCCCCATTCTGTTTCCTAAATAATGTTTAATAAATTACTGAAGCTTCAAAAACTATCTTCTTTGACAAATTCCTATATAAACAAAAGTTTCTTTTCTGACTTTTGTAAACATGGAAATAAGGCATAATCACCTTATATCACAGCTGTTCAAACATTTTTCTTTAATCCCAAATCTTTAAAACTGATTAACTATAATAAGAAACATATTAGTCTAAACATGAAGCTCTGCAATGCCATTTTCTTTCAAAGTGGACTAGGAAGAAGAGAATGAGCAAAATGCAGGAGAAAATGGTCGATTCCTATAACCTCTAAAACAGCAGAATCAAAACCCAGAAATGGGGGGGGGGAAATTATCTGGATTCAATAACATATGGGAGGGGATAAGGAGCTTTTCAGATTTCTATTACATACCCATTTCTTATTTTACCCAACACACTACATAACATATATAATATATATGCTAGATATACTATTTACATAGTTCCTTACAAATGCAAAGAAACAGTTGAATTAATACCATAATGAACTGCTCACATCTCAAACTGTAAGAAAGTCTCCAGCTGTTCTCAGCCAGAGCAGGGTAAATAGCTGTATGTAACTCCTCTGATACACCTCATGCCAACGTACCCTATGTTTCAAAGCCTAGGGAAGATATTTAAGCCACTGGAATTACTCCGCTGCCTCCTTTTTCAAAAGTTTACAATTAAAAAAAAAAGGCTCCTCTGCCCAATGTCACCAGAACAGCAGAGCTCAGATATAATTTTTGGCTATTTCAGATATACCAGGTCCTGGGACACAGTGGTAACCAAGACCTCTGCATGAGGCTGATCAACCAAAACAGACATGTATTAAACTCACATTTACAGAAGTAATTATTTTTACAGTTGTGACAAGTAGTGCTATAGGAAAAGAGTAGGCTGCTATGGAGAACAAATAACAGGAGACCCTAACCTAGGGAAGGCTACCTGAGGAAGTGACATTTCAGCTGAGATCTAAAGAATAAGCAAGAATTAGTCAAGTAAGAAGTAGAAAATATTCCTTATACTATGTTGTTAGAAATACAGGATTTAAAACTATATACAGATAATGTCCCAAATAGCCGCACAATATACAGATAATGCCCCCCCAATACATATATATATATATATTCTCTATAAGCATATAAAAATTAGAAGGAAATATATCAAAATGTGGTTCTCTTAATAATGGCATTGTAATCGTTTTAAATGTTCTGCTTAATATTTTAGTGTTTTCCAAGTTTTCTTCAATAAAATGTACTATTCTTCCATGTAGAAAAACAACTTTTTAAAAAGAGAGTTGCTCAGGTTGGTGAAAGAACAGTAAATAACTTTTGGTCTTGTGGAGCAAGCAGAGAAGTAGGGTGGGCGTGGAGGTGAATGAACAGTCTATCTAGTTGGAGAGGTATTCCTCCCAGAACAGTGTTTAGCTTTCTGAATTAATTACCTCCAGCCTCTCCTTAAAAATGATTGGTCTTTCTCAGAGTAGGGGTCCTTTCTGTGATATAAGCAAAACAAAAGGCAAACATATTTTAATAGAAGGAAGGAAAGATGATTTAAGAGGGGTATTATCCATCAAATTTAAGTATTTTAGAAAGAGAATCACTATATAGCTCTTAAACTTCTGAATAGATAAAATATTCAATTCACATTGCTCAAAATACAAAATGTTTAACAGTATTTGTAGTGAAGTTTCCCTCCTACTGGTCTTGTCTCTCAGTCACCAAGTAGGCAGGCCATTATTAGTTATATGTCCTTCTAGAGATAATTTACTCATATATAAGGCAATATATACTCTTTTCACCTGTCTTATGTACTTTCCTTTTTTCACTTAGTATCTATTGGGTCAGTAAGTGACGACATTTTCATCATTTTAATAACTGCATGCTATTTATTCCATTATGTTGATATACCATAATTATTTAATATTCCCTTTCAAATGGACACTAAGGTACAGATTTAAATCTGACTAGAAATCTGCTTAAAATTAGTTTAAATATTTTGTTCTCAGTAAGAATTACAGGTTCTTTAACAAACAGCTAATGCACTCTCCAGCTAAGCTTACGCAAAAGCTGTTAAAACTATTGTGAAGCAATTAGCAAAAGAAAAAATAGAGTATTTCAGAGTACTTCAAGTTGTAATTTTTGTAGCTCCAAGGTAGATCCCCAGTTGGGAAGGGTTTACACACTAACTGGACATACTAATTTGACATACACAAGTACCATTTTTAAGTAACTGAAGAGATGAAACAAAATCACTCCCTGCCTGTTTTAATAGATGTAATCATAACTCTCCACCGAGTTCCTCTAAGGAAAGAACATAGTTTCTCAACATATCCAAAAGTAAACATCTATTTTCATAACCTAAATAAAGAACTTGGAAGAAAAGGTTATAAACTGCCTTTCCCACTGTGAAAAACAGATGATCCTACTACCAATTTTTCAGTCTAATTTAAATGATTTTCACATGATTTAATATCTGCACTTACTCTTGTGTTTGTAGAAATAAGGTTCCTGAAAATTAGCGCTTATAGACACAAAAACTTCCCATGTATGCTTTAGAAGAAAAAGTTGCCTTGGTTATCTGTGATTATAGTAACTATTCAAAATTTCACACTGAATTATGAACTCCAAGATTAAAATTATTAGCCTCTTTAACTAAGTTAATTTTTTTTTGGTAATCATTTACAGGGCACAAGATTAAAAAATCTTAAGAAAACACATTTATCCCCTTCCCCCCACTGGGGTTTACAAATACATAAAAAATTATAACAATGGCCAATTCTATTAACAATTTTTAATTTTTAAAAAGATCACATTAATAATGTCCCAATTCTTTCCTCCACTGACCACTAAACTTAGATTCTATTCTTCAAGATTACTCTTATGCCAATTTGGATGTTATTTTTAAATTCCAAATTTTAATTAACTGAAACAAATGCTTCTGGCTAGCAACTCTACAAATGGCATTAACATAATTTCAAGTGAATGTTACTTGAAACAATGTTTTAGATACAACTGTTTATTTACATAAAACTTCATATCAATAGTTATCTAAAATTCATCCAATTTTACTGTAACTATTAAAATTAGAAAGACTGTAGCCCTGACCGGTTTGGCTCACTGGATAGAGCATCGGCCTGGGGACTAAAGGGTCCCAGGTTCGATTCCGATCAAGGCATGTACCTTAGTTGCAGGCACATCCCCGGTAAAGGGTGTGCAGGAGGCAGCTGATCGATGTTTCTCTCTCATCAATGTTTCTAACTCTCTATCCCTCTCCCTTCCTCTCTGTAAAAAATCAATAAAATATATATTTTTTTAAAAATTAGAAAAACTGTATTGTACTGAAGAATTTGGAAGCTAGAAATGAACTCCTACTGGACAAATGAGATTTCTAACAGTTCTTTCGAGTTATATCACACTTGACTTTTAAATACATTATAGGAAAAACTTTTAAAAAGAACCAACACAATTCACATGGGAGTAAAATAAATTTATAATTATATTTAGATTATACTTGGACATTTCATGTTTTCAATCTGAACCCATTCTAGTAACTAACTCTAGCTATAAGTGATAGAATATAGTGAATGAACTGTTACCTCTGAAATGAGGGCCCATACCAGCCTCCTTGCAAGCATCACTGTGATGAATGCTGCCAAGTGGTAATCAATGAGATGAAAATTCTATAAGAGAAACAAATAACTTCATCAGAAAGAAATATCTGTATCCTTGGAATTGTTATATGAAGAGGTTTGTCTCCTCAAAAGATCTTCCTTACATCACCTTACACTTACAGACCACAGGAAATTGAGAGAGCAGGAAGAGACTACCTATCTTCTACTTCTTTCTCTGACAAGATGCTTTAACTTTTCAAACACTATTTAAACTATCTCGAATGTATTCCTCTCCTTTCTTGAAAGTTTATTGTATTAAAAGGAAAAGATTACAGTTTTGGGTTAACAAGTGATAACCTACAGAATTATGGCAAGAATAATTTATCTAAAATGCCATATTTATGAGCGACAAATTTAATGAATCAGAATTACCAATTTTGGGGGGTTACTGCTGTTGGTCTCTTTTAATCTAAGAGCTTATGTTGATCTAATTGAGCATCTACTAACCTAAACTCCCTACTCACTGGTACATCAATTACATTCATTAGTTTTTCTTCTTACTTTGATTTAGAAACATGTTTTATACAGTGAGGCCTTGACTTACAAGTTTAATTCGTTCCGTGATGGAGCTCGTAACTCAAATTACTCGTATGTCAAATCAAAAAGTAAACAAGTGAGACACGTGATGCTGGGCTGATGTTGTGGCGTTCACTGTGACGTTCACTGCACCAACTAGCGGTGGGGTATCTGAAGCTGGCTCGTAACCCAAATTTTAGCTCGCAACTCAAAGCAAAAAAATCGGCCGAGAGATGGCTCGTATCTCGAAAAACTCGTTAGTCGGGACACTCGTAAGTCAAGGCCCCACTGTATTTGATTTCTTCTTCCTATAAAACGATAGTATTACCTAGATCAGTGATGGCGAACCTTTTGAGCTCGGCGTGTCAGCATTTTGAAAAATCCTAACTTAACTCTGGTGCCGTGTCACATATAGAAATTTTTTTATATTTGCAACCATAGTAAAACACTTATATTTTTGATATTTATTTTATATATTTAAATGCCATTTAACAAAGAAAAATCAACCAAAAAAAATGAGTTCGCGTGTCAGAGGTTCGCCATCACTGACCTAGATGCTATACATGATTCCTTCTAGTTCTAAGTGTGTAAACATCACTGTAATAATAAACAAAATGAAAAGTCAGTAGCAACAAACAGAATGTTCATTTTGATAGTCAAAGTCTGTAGGTTTCCACAGTTCTTCTTCCAGAAGGAAAAGTTCAATTTCTCAATTAATTATTTCAATAAATATGTACTGGGCACCCACAATGTGCTAAGTACTCTTCTTGAAACTGCGGATAGTGCTGAAGATTGACAGACAAGGTTCCTGCTTTCCTGGATCCTACTTTTTACTGTGATGTGAGAGGGCAAGGGGATAGCAGATTACTAGGTGTCTCTTATGCCATCACAGAATTTAACTGGGCACTGACTCTTAGCTAACTAAAGGTTCATTTCCCAGTTTCCCTTGAAAAACCACTTGTTGCTAAGGGATGTGATGGAAAATGATGTGTACTGCTTCCTGGCTGTGCTCTTAAAGAAAGCTGTGTCTTTTTCCTTTCCTCCTTCCTGCTGGCCAGATGTGATGACAGAGTTGGAACAGCTACCTTGGATCATGTTTGGAAGAAGCATGTTGGGGGTGGCAGAACAAAAGAAACAAAGAATTGTCACACTGGCCTTATGTCACCTACCTAATTTTTATTTATTAGAGAATTAAGCTTCTATTTTGTTTTAGCCAGCATGATACAGCAGCTAAACCCATATATTTAATAAATTTATTTAAGGGGGAAGGGCAATGACAATAAACAAGCTAAGAAGCAAAATCATTTCAAATAGTTACAAATGCTGATAAGAAATAAAAGTGATAAATGATGACTGGTGACAGGGGAGTTGGAAGATGGGTGAAAAAGGTGAAGGGATTAAGAAGTACAAACTGGCCCTGACCAGTGTTGCTCAGTGGTTAGAATGTCCGCTCACCAAAGGGTCGCAGGTCAATTCCTAGTTAAGGGCACTACCTGGATTACAGGTTCGATCCCCAGACCCTGTTGGGGCACATGCAGGAGAAAATCAATCGATGTCTCTCTCTCGCATTGAAGTTTCTCTCTCTCTTCTTCCCTCCCTCCCTTATACTCTCTCTAAAAATCAATGGAAAAAATATCCTCAGATGAGGATAAACAAATACACAAAAAAGTACAAATTGGTAGTCACAAAATAATCATGGGGATGTAAAGCAGAGCTCAGGGAATATACTCAATAATACTGTAATAACTATGTATGGCTCCAGGTGGATCCTTGAAATATCCAGGGACCACTCTGTAAAGTATATGATTATCTAACCACCATACCGTACACCTGAAACCAGTACAAAATAATATTAAAGGTAAACTGTACTTAAAAAAATTAAAATTAAAAAATATAATGACTGGGAAGGGAGGTACAGAGCCAATTTAAATTGGTGGTTGAGGAGAATAACTCTGAGAAGGTCGCATTTTGGGCTGAGAGCTAAATGACAAAAGAGCACCAGCTCATTTCAGCCTTCTTGCTGATTTCAAGCACACTAGGCATATATTTTCCTGCCATGGGGCCTTTGTGACTACTTTTTTCTTTAAAATGTATCCCAAATCTGTCCACTCCATCTCCACTGCTACTGACCCTCTTTTCAATCCATATTCATTTCTCATCTGAATCTCTGCCCCCAGATCTTGTCATTGCTGGTGCTCTAATATTACCTTTAATAAAATTTTGTACTGGTTCTAGGTGTACAGTATAGTGGTTAGATAATCATATACTTTACAATAAAGTGGTCCCCAGATATTTCAAGGATCCCATGGGACCGTACATAATTGTTACAATATAATTGACTATATTCCCTGTGCTCTACTTTATATCCCCATGATTATTTTGTGACTACCAATTTGTACTTTTTCTTGTTGTTTGCTTTTTGTTAATCCTCATTTTTTCCCCTAATGGGAAGTCATAGAAGTGTTTAGGCCCTCGCTGGTTTGGCTCAGTGGATAGAGCGTCAGCCTATGGACTAAAGGGTCCCGGGTTTGATTCCGGTCAAGGGCACATGCCCAGGTTGTGAGCTCGATCCCCAGTAGGGGGTGTGCAGGAGGCAGCCGATCAATGATTTGCTCTCATCATTGATGTTTCCATCTCTCTCTCCCTCACCCTTCCTTTCTGAAATCAATAAAAATTAAAAAAAGAAATGTTCCGGCAAAGAGTGCCATGATTCTATTTGTATTTTAAAATGCTCACACTGATTGCTCTGTGGTGAATATATTATAGTGGGGCAAAATCAATTAAGAAGCTATTGCTTTTGATTCAGGTGAAAAATGATTATGGGTTGAAGAGGGTCAGTAGCAATGGAGATGGAGTGGACAGATTTGGGATATATTTTAAAGGCAGAGCAGCCAGGATGTCAAGAGAGTGGCTTACTGTACATTCTTCAGATCATCTCTTTTTCCTTCTTAGTATTTTGGATTCTAACAATATTTATCCTCCCTTAGTTGTTTGTTTGTTTATTTTAACATAGAAAACCTAGATTTGTTAAACTATTACAAAGACAAAACAATTATCATGTGGAGTACTTTGAAGACTTCATCCCAATTTCATGTGTTCTGCTACAGAAACTGAATGAAGAGGCTAGAAATTAAGGATATAACATAACCTAAGAATCTATAATAGAACAGACTGGTGAAACATGGTGAAAGGAGCAAAAGCTAGTCAGAAGAAGCACTTGTGTTAATATGTGTGGCTGGGATGTTTCCAAAAAGGCTCCCTAGAGATGCCTGAATGAATTAATCTGGGTCCCAACAGTAAAAAGATCCTTACCCCTGTAGAGAATGAGCAGAGGCCAGATTCATCTGAGATCTTTGTCCTTTTTTTAAGGGTAAGGGTATCCTTAGGCCCTAAAGGGTCTATCTTAGATTCAGCCTCTCTTCCATCCCGTCTACCAACACCTAAGTGCCCGTGCATTTTCACCACATACCCCTGCTAGGTTACAGAAGATACATACACTGAAGGCAGGAATTATAGGCCTACTCAGAAGGTACCTAGACACAGAAAATTTGGGGATAAAAGATAAACTACAAATACCCTCTTGGTTAAGTAAATTCACCTTGGTTAAAGGTAATAGTTTCTTCTGCTGGTGACAACTTGTTGTCTCATACAGTCTGTCTCAAGAAAGAACTGGTTCAGGAAGTTTCGGAGAAGGAAAAATATTTTCATCAACACCCACTCCACAGAGGAAAAGGCACCAAGTTCTCTCCTACAGTTATGAGAATCCCAAAGCAACATAAAATCATTTTCAGTGATCAACATCTGCATCCTCACACTGTCCAGCAACGTGGGTGTAGTATCTACCTCCATCCCACCTTCATAATCTCTTACTGAATCTTCTGTCTGGACTCCAGCCTTGTTATACTGGCTGCTCACAGACTGAGAAAGCATTCCTTCTAATCTCTCCAATGTGGCCTGGCCTTCGGCTGTTAAGTGGGATAATCCTTCTTCACAGGTGTAAAATGTAGGGATGTCCCCCTGACCTTGTTCATGTGCTTCCACATCATATTCTTCTCCATCATAATCATCTGAATCTTCATCCTCGGGATCTGGATGCAAAGCCTGGCATTCACACATTGCAGTGAACATTGCCTCCAATGCTGATTTACCACTAGGCACAAATCTAAATTCAGCAATAGGTTCAACATCCTCTTCACTGTCTTCCTCTTCTTCATCAGTAACAGAGTCTTTCGATTCTTCTTCAAATTTGGCATTCACCATAACATATAAATGCTCTCATGGATAGGCATTTAGGTCCCTGGACACTGCATGTAAACTAATGGTGGGGTATTCCAGTGAGAACCCCAGTCCAGAGCCATCTAACCAAGACAAGCGGCTCTCAGCGATGTAAAGAGTGCTGAGTGCCGGTGCCCAAGCCCTTCCCGTTGAGCACCTCGTTGGTATCTGGTATCAGCCGACCTGGGCGGCGGGAAACTTCTGAGGAAGCTCACTGCAGTAGTGAGGGCCAAGATGCAGATCGAGAGGGAGCTGAGGCACAGCAATACCCAGCTCACCGCATCCCGCTCCGGAAGCAATCTATCCTCCCTTAGTTTTGATATCCTTCCTTGCTCACCCCACTCCTCCAAAATAATGCAAGCAAATCTACTAGACTCCCTAGCTAATGTCTGGGGGTCCATTTATGCAACACTAGTGCATCTAAGACATTTTTTAATATAAAAAGATTTAAGTGCCTAATATATCTTCATGTTAAGCAAATTTTGTTATATTCTAAATTGCTAAAAATGCATCTGCTTATGATTAACTTTCTGTAAACCAAAATATTTGATTAATCAGAGTCTTCCACTCCTAACTATTCTGAATAATTTACTATACTACTTATTATTTTTATGTTTCTTGGGGTTAGGACTCATTTAGCTAGTTTCTTGATAGCTAGAATGATACTTTACATATTTAGGTGTTCACAGTTTCTTTTTGATAATTACTAAGATCTTGAAATGGAAAAAGAGAAACCTAATATATAAATGTGACAAATTTCTCAGTGTGGCATGCATAATAGAAGAAAACTTAAAGGAGACATACCACTAGTTGAGGTATAAGTCCTTTCTAGAAATCCCTGTCAGCTGCCACATTCTATGCTTGCACACCTTCAGTGATGGGTAGTAACTAGGTCTCTGACAGCCCATTTATCTTTGAACAGTTCACTGATTCAGGACCCTTTCAGTTTAATGGGATAAAATCTTATTTGCTATTACACATATGTTACTCAGCTCCACAACTAAATTTTGAACTTTGTGGGAGAAGGATCACATGTGGCTGATAAGTGAGCTAGACCACACAATAACCTCGTTTAAGTGTGCCTTCCTCTCTACAGCAGAGACTGGAAAGCTAAAAACATTTTCAGACTTTCTTGCAGCTGAATTTCTAGATTTGATTTCATTTCTGCAAACAAGTATTACATAAAACTTAAATTCAGAACTGAGTAAAGTGGGGAGATGGACAAGTAAAGGTCACCCTTTACGTCAGAGCAAAGAAAGTATAATTCTGGAATCAGCAGCATAGTAACAGCTTCCTGATTGACAAGAACACTAGTTCCCTTTGTTTTATGGCAACATTTGTAAGAGACTTTTAAAAGTGGCTGAGAGAAAAGCTCTTTTATTAGCCTGAAAATTCAACAAGTGAGAAGTTTCCATTTAATGTCAAAGTAGAAATTGTATAATGTACTTATAGAGTAAATATAGAATAAATACAGGAAGTTAAACATAGCAGATAGGTTTGGATTTGAGTACTCACTGTGTCACTATGTGATTCTGAGCCAGTTTCAAAATTTCTAGGTCTCCTATAACTCATTCATAAAATGAGAGTCATACAGTAATACCTACCTATTTATTCAAAGAGTAAATGAGATAATACTTGCAAAGAACATAGTAAATATTTTAATAAGCGTTTGCTCATGTCACTGTTAGGATAGTGAGGTGTTTATAGAGCTATATAACGAGAAGAAACTTTAAAGATCATCTAATCCAAACTCTTCATAACACCATGGTCAAAGAAAGATAGATGAAGTATAGTTTCTACATTCAATAAACTCAAATTCAGGTGGGGAAAGACTATTAAAAATCAAATATACAGCTCACCCTGTGTGGCTCAGTAGTTGAGCGTCAACCTATGAATCAGGAGGTCAAGGTTTGATTCCCAGTCAGGGCACATGCCCAAGTTGCAGGCTGGATCCCTAGCAGGGAGCATACAGGAAGCAGCCAATCTGATTCTCTCCCATCACTGATATTTCTATCTGTCTCTCCCTTTCCTTTCTTATCTCTGAAATCAATTTTTACAAAAACTCAAAACAAATAAATGAAGCATTCAATTTGGCATTAAATCATTACAATTCTTAAGTAAAAGAAACTGAAATTCTCGCCCCAGCCTATTTGGCTCAGTGGACAGAGCGTCAGCTTGCGGACTAAAGGGTCCTGGGTTCAATTCCGGTCAAAGGCACATGCCTGGGTTGTGGGCTTGATCCTCAGTAGGGGGTATGCAGGAGGCAGCCAATTAATGATTCTCTCTCATCATTGATGTTTTCTATTTCTCTCCCTCTCCCTTCCTTTCTGAAATCAATAAAAATATATTTTTTTAAAAACTGAAATTTTCTTCACCTAAGTAAGCAGATAGTCACTATGGAAAGAAAATTCTTAATGGTTAATTCCAGGAACAACCAATTGATACAAACATTTAAAAGAAAAATGTTTATTCCCTTCCCATGCCATCTTGAAGATTTTCGTTTGCATTTCCTTCCTTTCTATGTTCACCGGGCCAGGGAGGTTTTTGATTCATTTATAAGTCACAGACGCATACATAAACTATACAGGACAATAGCTTTCTTTCTCCTAGAGCAGGGGTCCTCAAACTACGGCCCGTGGGCCACATGCAAATACAAATATTGTATTTGTTCCCGTTTTGTTTTTTTACTTCAAAATAAGATATGTGCAGTATGCATAGGAATTTGTTCATAGTTTTTTTTTAAACTATAGTCCGGTCCTTCAACGGTCTGAGGGACAGTGAACTGGCCCCCTGTTTAAAAAGTTTGAGGACCCCTGTCCTAGAGCGTATCTCTATTGCCCATCCAAATCTGCCAATACCAACCACTTACTTGACTAGCCTTACCATTATTTTATATATCCTTCTATGGAGAACATTCTCTGCATCAAGATTATCACACCCATCCTAAATAACTGGAGAGAAGATAGAAGAAACCTACAAGATACTGTCATGTACTTTAGCAGAAACAGTTCTTCTCTGTTTTATTTTTGTAACAGAACCCAATTTTATTCAGGATAACAATGAATTCAGTAAAAGGACTATATTTTCCAGCCTCCCTTGCAGGACACATGTGAAAATGATATAACTAACCCTGGCCCACAAGGAACTCTCCTTTATAGTTCCCTTTCCTCTTTTCCCTTTCTGGCTGACAGGGATGGACCACAGCCACCCTGAAAGCCACTCATTGGAAGATGTTTGTCAGCATCAGCCTGGGTCCCCTGAGTGACCATATGGGAAGTGTGCTATTCCTGCCAACTAGGCCAAATGCCTCCGACTGTTATGTGTTTGGAGAATTATACAAATTTTGGGCTTATTTGTTATAGAAGCTTCCATTATCCTAGTACAGTCATTAAAAGGGTAGAGCTGCTAGAATTTAAACATATTGGCACTTTAAATTTCCAACAAATATAACATGGTATGGAGAAAGCTAAATATAAAAACCTTCTCATGGTATTATTATAATAAATTATTTTAATGTTTTCTGCATTTTCATTTGTATTTTTACTTCCTCCAGTCATAGACCAAAGCCAGATATTTTATATTTCAAACAATCTTATGACATTATATTTCTGAAAGTACCCTTGGTTTAACAGGAAAACATTTTATTAGAAAAAAAATTATTAAGAAAAATAATGTGCCAAGACCGGTTTGGCTCAGTGGATAGAGCGTCGGCCTGTGGACTGAGGGGTCCCGGGTTCGATTCCGGTCAAGGGCATGTACCTTGGTTGCGGGCACATCCCCAGTGGGAGGTGTGCAGGAGGCAGCTTGTCGATGTTTCTCTCTCATCGATGTTTCTGACTCTCTATCTCTCTCCCTTTCTCTCTGTAAAAAAATCAATAAAAATAAAAAAAAATAAAAAAAAGAAAAAGAAAAATAATGTCTACACAGATTTTCCAACTAGTTTCTTGGCTAAGTAACATGAAGAACGTAAAGGCCGATTAAGACTTACCAATGAAGTACAAGAAGCAGGATGATTGTAAGGATACCACCACACTGTTTTATAGATGTTGATGTACTGAATGAACAGGGCAACCAGCAGGTAGATGAAAAAGAGAAATTCAAAGAGCAGGCTCCCATCCACAGGCAAATCAGGAATTTGGCAATGACGAACTGGACCTGGGGTGATTAAGGCTGTGATAGGTGGGACCGGAAGGCCAATAGCACTACCATTCCTGGAAGAGAAAACTAGGGTTAGCTCAAATAGTGATTACCCTTCAGTGTCATACAGCATAAAGGGCTCCCGCTTCCTTCTCCACCTACCCTTTAACCTTTAGCCTTCCCCCAAACTCTACCCTAGGATCTTTGGCTTCTCCCTTCACACACACCCCCTCAGTGATCTAATATGTGGCCATGGTTTCCATTATCCTCTAGATCAGTGGTTCTCAACCTTCCTAATGCCATGACCCTTTAATACAGTTCCTCATGTTGTGGTGACCCCCAATTTCATTGTTACAAACTGAACATAATTAAAGCATAGTGATTAATCACAAAAACAATATGTAATTATATATGTGTTTTCCGATGGTCTTAGGAAAGGGTTGTTCGACCCCCAAAGGGGTTGCAACCCACAGGTTGAGAACTGCTGCCCTAGATGCTGAAAACAAAAATTTTTCTCCATAGAGCTCACTGCTGAGTTTTAGACCCATGTTATCAAGCTGTCTACTGGACATCTCTGTATTCCTCCTCCTGTGGTCCTGGCTCTAGTTCATGTCCCATCCAGTTAGCTGCCTGAATCAGAAACCTGGCAGTATATTAGAACTTTCCTTCTGCCTCATCCAATCACTCCCTAAATCTTACATATTCCACTTTATAAAACTTTCTCCAGCCCTGGCTGGTTTGGCTCAGTGGATAGAGTGTCGGCCTGCGGACTGAAGGGTCCCAGGTTCGATTCTGATCAAGGGCACATGCCTAGATTGTGGGCTTGATCCCCAGTAGGGGACGTGCAGGAGGCAGCCAATCAATGATTCTCTCTCATCATTGATGTTTCTGTCTCTCCCTCTCCCTTCCTCTCTGAAATCAATAAAGATATATATATATATAAAAAAACTTTCTCTAAACTGTACCCTCCTCTCTAAACCCCCTCTGTCTTAGTTCAAGCAGTTACTATTTTTTCATCTAAAGTACTGCAGTAATCCCCATAAATTCAACTCCACTTTCACCAAATTCTCCAACCTTCCTTCAGAGATCTTTCTAAAGTGAAAGTCTGATCTTTCTAAAATGTTACTCTCTTGAATGAATGCCTCTCCACTACCAATAGAATAATATTAAAAATTTTAGTATGTCCTATGAGGCCCTCTGCTTAACAGACTAGCTTCATCTCCAAAAACATCCTCCTTAACCTCTCACATACACATTTACTGACAAAATCCTTCACGACTTTTTAAATGATCAAGAATATCCTCTACGAAGCTTACTCTGATTGATTCAATCAAAACTAATTCATCTCTCCTCTGTGCCACTATTACACCTAAACTAGGCCTTTATGCTGGGAAAAATGTAAGGCAGCAGGAAAAGAAGACCCTATGTGAGATGGACTGACTCCATAAAAGAAGCCATAGGCATAGAACATTGTTGAGTACAGGACACTGTGGACATCACTAATTCATAGGCTCACCAGGAGTTGGAGCTGACTTACTGGCACATAAGACATGTCTTTAATATTGTACTTTTCATACTACTATATAATTTTTGTATATATCTATGTCTTGTCTATCATAATCTTAAGGACTATAATTTTCCTACTTTACTACAAATATATACCTTTAGGTTGAGAAGACAGCAGACCAATATGGTCATAAGAAAAATAGGGATCTCTGAAAACACTAGTTAAGATATACAGGTTTCAATCCCTATCTCCCTGTTATCCCTTCTACCAAGCTGTTTTATACGTGAGAAAGAGCTGGGCTATCAAGAATGATAACATTTCCCATTATATGTACACATGGGAGTAGTTACAGAGATCTAAGAGTCTACTATTGTTTAAAGCACATGAAAGAGAGGGTTGGTTTGTATTTTCAAAGAAGATTCTAGAGAAGGAACAATATTAGCATTACCATTCTACTCTAAAAGTTCCAAATATAGAATTCTAGCATTAGTACATGACATTCACAGTACTTTATGTGACTCCTGGGAATATAAACTCTGGTCACTCTGAACAGTTAAGAATAACATGGCAGAAATGCAGAGGAGTCAGAAGGTAAGAACAGGGAGAGAGGGATCAGGAAAAATTATAAAAATTTCTTCCTCTCATTGCCAGTGTATATTCTAATAGAACAAGCTTATCAAGGAGTAGGTTGTGATCTACCAGAAGGTTTCATAACCTTACCTGTTCAGTCATAAACCAATCATCAACACCACAGCCCTGTGATCTGTTCTGAGAGATGGGCCACAGCACTTCCCAACTCCAGGAGATCTCATTCACACAGAACACAACATGAAAAGGGCCCTCTGGAGTTGTACAAGTTGGTCAACTTGAATGGAGGGGATTAATGCCAACAGCCAATCTATTCTCTCACTCCAATTAATCATAAGGTATGGAAATAAAGAATTCTGAGAAGTTACAAGGTTAGAGGCCTCTACTCTAGAACAAAATAAAAATTCGAATTCCTCTTCAGTCAAAACTCAATGAAAGGGGAAAGCATGCTGAATGAACTACTTGTTATAATTTAAAGGTTTAAAAGGTTCTTAAAGAATTTTTTCTAAGTAAAGACTAATCTGCTTCTGTGGTTAACAATGTCAATAAAATGCTGGGCCTCAAGAAAGATATTCCAAATGAAGTTCAAAAGATCTACACCTGTGATATTCTATAACATATTCACCAATGTTATCTCCAATAAGGGTTTAATCTCCAAAATTTACAGGGAACTCCAAACTTAAAGGGAAGATAAACATTTTGCAAAAATGGGCAAAGGACCTAAATAGACTTTTCGAAAGAGGACATACAGAAGGCCAAGAGACATACGAAAACATGCTCAAAGTTACTAATCATCTGAAAGGTACAATGAGGTACCATCTCACACCTGTCACAATGGCTACCATCAACAAACGACAAATGCTGGCGAGGATGTGGAGAAAAAGGAACCCTCGTGCACTGCTGGTGAGAATGCAGACTGGTGCAGCCACTGTGGGAAACAGTATGGAGCGTCCTCAAAAAATTAAAAATGGAACTTCCATTGGACCCAGTAATCCCACTTCTATGAATATATCCCAAGAAATCAGAAACACCAATCAGAAAGGATATATGTACCCCTATGTTCATAGCAGCACAATTCACCATAGCTAAGATTTAGAAACAGCCTAAGTGCCCATCAGTAGATGAGTGGATTGGATTAGAAAACTGTGGTACATCTACACAATGGAATACTACTCTGCTGTAAGAAAGAAGGAACTCTTACCATCTACAACAGCATGGATGGACCTGGAGAGCATTATGCTAAGTGAAATAAGCCAGTCGGAGAAAGATAAATATCACATGATCTCACTCATTTGTGGACTATAATGAACAACATAAACTGATGAACAAAAATAGATCCAAAAAAAGAATTAAAAAAAAAATAGATCCAGAGTCATAGAAGCATCGAACAGACCACCCAACCTAAGAGGGAAAGGGGGGGAGGGAGGCCGTAAGAGATCAACCAAAGGACTTGGATGCATATAAGCATAACCAATGGATACAGACAGTGGGGGGAGGAGGGGTGTGAGGGCATGTGCTGGGGGGTGGGAGTGGCCAGGGAGAGGTCAATGGGGGAAAAAGGAGACACATGTAATACTTTTAACAATAAAGAATTTGGGGCGGGGGGGGGAGGGAAGAAAATTAGTTACAGAGGCTTTTTGTGTGTGTTTTTTTTTAAATTATTCCTGGGGCAGCAGGACATGGCTTTGAAAAAAAGACTTATTCCTAACAGGATATGAAAATATATTAAAGAAAAGCAAAGAGATACAAATGTTTAAGATACAATGTGGAATAGTTCTCCCACATTTTCCACTAATCAGCTGTGGTTTTTGAGAAAGTAACTATATCCCTGAGCCTATAATACAAGGGTTGGAATAGATTCTCTTTAAAGAACTCTTCTCAATGTTAACACTGAGTATTATCCTTTAAACTGTGTTGCAGGTCCCCAAGGCCAAGCCCAGGCTTGATGATTTGCTAGGAGGACTCATGGGACTCGGCATATAGTTGTGCTCACAGCTAAGATTTATTACAGCAAAGGGATACAAATCAAAATCAGCAGAGGGAAAAGGTACATGGGGCAAAGTCTGGAGAAAACCAAGCGCACATTTCCAAGAATCCTTTCTCAGTGGTGTCGTACAGGACACACACAACTCTCAGTTAATACTTGCGACAATATGTGTTAAGTGCTATCTACAAGGAAAGTTCATTATAGACTCAGCACCCAAAGTTTTTACTGAGGGCTGGCCATGGAGGCACTCTCTGCCTAGCAGTACAACTATTTCCAAAATCCCAAAAGGAAAGCAGGTGCTCAGCATAGCCAATCTTAGAAATGCCTGCTTGCAAGGCTGGCATCTGGAACTTGACTGGAAAAGAGTTCCCTTACTGACATAAAAGTTTCACTAAATAATAAGAGTGGCTCACTGTGCCTAACGCATTTGTGCAAACAATGTGGTTTATGTTGAATACCTGCTTTGTCCTTGCATATAAAGGTTGTGTGCGGACGAGTTAACATACCAGGTCTGAGACTGGCTTTTATAGAGCCAGCAAGCAAAAGAATTTAGCTAAGCAAATGGATAAAGCAAGGAGGCTTCAAAGGAATAAAGAAGAATAGGAAGGGATAAAGCAGTGATCATTTGAACATGCTCAGGTGATATTAGTAACAAAGTACCTGCAAGGACAAAACAAAGAAAAACTCACTCAGTCCTCAAATAAGATTCTCCCTCAACTACAAGCTCTAGGAAACTCACAGTCTGTCCTCCTCCTTTAGGAGGCAATCATCTACGCAAGACGTCCTAAGAACAAATCCCTGCTCCCCACAGGTGGAAAACAGGACAGGGAACTATAGGCTTCAATCTTGACTGTGTCACCAAACTAGCTCTATGACATTCTCAAGTTTAACTTCACCGATCGGGCACAATGCTCTCTTCTCCAGCTGACCTGTCTTGCAGAATCAAAGAAATCACCCGAAATTGTATCATACTTAAGCAATTACCTATTTCTCTCTTCAGTACTCTACAGACACTCCAGAAGAGAGTTCTCCCCGTCTGGACCCTATCTTTGTATACATCCTGCCTGAAACTATATTCTAGGCTGTCTACCGCTGGTTTTTATCCCTATTTTTTATAACTCTACCCCGGGTCTTCTAGGCTGCTTCTTTCCCATCAAGAAACAAATACAGGCCCTAGGTGCTTTGGCTCAGTGGATAGAGTGTTGGCCTGAGGACTGAAGGGTCCCAGGTTCAATTCCGGTCAAGGGCACGTGCCTGGGTTTCGGGCTCAATCCCCAGTAGGGGACATGCAGGAGGCAGCTGATCAATGATTCTCTCTCATCATTGATGTTTCTATCTCTCTCTCTCCCTCTTCCTCTCTGAAATCAATAAAAATAATTTTTTTAAAAAAAGAAACAAATATAGAATATCTTCTCCCAAAATATCCTCTTTAGGTAAAAATGTCACAAAATAGTCACTCAGTAACAGTGACTCTGCAAACCATGAACAACTATGATCTTTCACTTTACCCTAATCTGTTGAAAATGTTTTCCTCCTCACCACCCCAGTTAATTGCTAAAGAAATATATGTTAAAGGAGGAGAGCAGATGAAGAATGGTAGGTCAAGGCAACCATGATGGGAACTTTGAAAGCCAGGATAAAGGGCTACAAGGAAGGCAGAGAAGAGCAAACATGATCATAGCTAAAACCACCTAAGAGCAGAGGTAATTTCCAAATGTTCCTAGTTCTTCCCAGTACTCTACTTGGATACTTTAAGTACAAGCATAATCATCTAGGAATGTGGTTTTCAGCTTTTTAATAGCAGAACACTTCTTTTTTTTCTCCCCAAATGATATTTTACATGGTATCCCAATACTTAAAACTCATAGGAGGAGTTAGTCTGATTAAGAGAGGGCTAAGAAACCTGAAGCCTAGATTGCTAGGCCTGCCACCCTGAGACACTGAGGAGAAATTCCACGGGACAATTTGAGAACATAACTATCTAGGGGAATCCTCAAAGCCCAAGTAGAAGAACAAAGAACTGCTGGAGTTACTATAGAAGCAGAGCTGCACTGGCCAGGTAGCTCAGTTGGTTAGAGCACTGACCCGACAAACCAAGCTTGTGAGTTCGATCCCCAGTCAAGCATATACAAGAATCAATCAATGGGGGAATAAATAAGTGGAACAACAAATTGATGTTTCTCTCTCTCTTCCCTTCCTCTCCCTCTCTAAAAAAATCAATTAAAGCCCAGCATCAGTGGTTGTACATAGACGTATGAACCAGGAGGTCAGGGTTCAATTCCCAGTCAAGGCATATGCCCAGGTTTCCTGCTTGATCCCCAGTGGGAGGGGATGTGTGTGCAAGAGGCAGCCAATCAATGATTCTCTCTCACATCAATGTTTCTCTCTCTCTCTCTCCACTCCCTCCTTTCTTCCCTCCCTCCCAATTTCTCTCTAAAAATCAATGGAAAAAATATACTCAAATGAGAATAAAACAAAACAAAAAAATCATGTTATTTATTCTCATACAACATGACACAAATCTTAAGATGTTTAAGTTACAGCTGAGAGTTTATTAATTTCAAACAATTTTTTGAAGAATATAATTTGTAGGACCCTTGGTGGAATATGACTTACAATTTTAGAATCTCATATAAACTGTTAATTTTAATTTGCCCTCCAAAAAATAAAAGCCTTGCACTTTAATTCATTCCTTCCTTCTTTTTTTTTTTTTTTTTTTTTTTTTTTTACAGAGAGGAAGGGAGAGGGATAGAGAGTTAGAAACATCGATGAGAGAGAAACATCGATCAGCTGCCTCCTGCACACCCCCAACTGGGTATGTGCCCGCAACCAAGGTACATGCCCTTGGCCAGAATCGAACCGGGGACCCTTGAGTCGCAGGCCGACGCTCTATCCACTGAGCCAAACCGGTTAGGGCATTCCTTCCTTCCTTTTATTATTATTATTATTATTATTTTGTTAAGCCTCACCTGAGGATATTTTTTCCACTGACTTTTAGAGAGAGTGGGTGGGAGGGGGAGATACAGAGAAACATCAATGCGAGAGAGACACACTGATGGGTTGCCTCCCGCATACAACCTGACCAGGGCTGTGGATCGAGCCTGCAACCCCAGTACATGACCTTGACTGGAATCGAATCTAGGACCCTTCAGTCCATGAGCCAACATTCTAACCACTGCACAAAACTGGCTAGGGCTCCTCCCGTCCTTTAATAGCTAAAAAGGTGATGACTAGAATTTGAATTATGAACCATAACTAAGAATTGGACTGCTTTCACTCTGTGGGCCCCATATCACAACTCTCCGCCTCCCAAGTATTCTGAAATACTGAGCTTTCAGTTTTCAAGGCAGGATTTCTATTTCAGGGTCAGGAAATAATCTTCATAAACAAATACTACCTGAATAGCATGATGACTTCTATGTAAGTATTACTGATCAGAGAATATTACAAATTACAAATAATCTTATTTCTTCTTTACCTGTTTCTCAGGCCTGTTCCATTGCCGCAGCCCCCACCAACCAAAGTCTGTAAGGAAGGTAAAGCTGAACGGCTTAGCTGCTGCCGACTAGGGCCCCTCCTTCCACCGGGCATGTCCGGAAACCAGTCTGCTTCCAGTGCCACCTGTAGCTGCAACCCAGGTCAATGGTTGTCAACCTGTTTCAACTCTGAACAATAACAAAACAAAACAAACAAAACACACACACATTTAAATGTCAGTTTACTATTTTTTAAACTAAGCAATGTAAGAAAACCACCAGAAAAACTGAGGGAATGGGGCTTGTAAAACCAGATTTTCAAACAAATGCTCTCAGTATCTATTACCTACTTTATTCTAATGAAATGAATACTCGAACTCTAACAGATCAAAAGCATAAGTGCTGATCGAAGGTGTGTTCAGCACTAGGGAAGTCACACTTTGTATCTTTTGTCAGTTTAGTACAGAACATGAAAGATACCACGATCAGGTACACATTTACAAGAAACACCTAATACAAACACTTCCAATTCAAATGTAATTATTTCACAGTAAGGCCCTTGAAATACCGGAGAATCAGCACTGTCCAAAATGTTACCGTTTGTTACCAAGCCATCTGGTTCTGGCTCAGATGTGTTACATATTATCTGACTTTCCGCTTCCTTATCAGAAGGGGGGGGGGGGGGTGTTCCCTGTCCCACAGAGGTTGTTGTCGGGACTGACAATGATGGATGTAAGTACACCAGTCCACCCTTTTAACTCTGTAAAACTGTTCAAATGGTATCTCGATGCTAGAGTGAAACCATTGGAAGCCGCTCAAGCGGGTGCCCACTCCAGAAAAACGTATGTAGGATTTCTTAGAAATTACTGAACCTGCACGAGGAAAAGGTAAGTCACAGATGAAGATCCTGGCTGAAAAAAAGAAACTGCCCTCGTCGATCTGGCAACATCACGGCTCCTCCAATATGGATACGAACATCTGTCTACTAAACAGTACAATTTAAAAACTAAAGAATGACACCGTAAAAAAAAAACACACACACAACACAACCTCTGGCTTTCAAAACACTGCTGCAGACTGCACTATCCCTATAGCTTTATCCAAACCGCTGGATGTAGGCAGGGACTGCCGGTCCTTGCTCACAGGGGAAGAAAGGTGTGGAGCAAAAACACCCGGAACGGAAGAGGCGAGAGGATGCAGGAGGGATGGCGAGAGGCTACCAACTCCAACAGACCGGCCCCCAAAGAGGGGACAAGCGGTCCCGCCCCGCCACCCGGAGAGCCGAAGCAGGCCTCGGACAGACGGACAGCACGGCGGTGCCGTTAGACTCACGCATGGAGGAGGCCCGGCCGGTGGGGCGGGATCCGTGGGAGCAGGCAGCAGCTTGACGCGAGAGACCCCAAGCAAGAGAACTCCCTCCCCGCGTCGAGGCGCTCCGAACCGAGTGCTTGTCCGCAGGCCGTCCAGCCCACAGAGGCGAAAAAAAGATGTCCACGCTTCGAGCTGCCAGACCCAGACTTAGACCTAGACCCTGCGTCAGCGGCAGAGCCAGAGCCAGAGCTAAAGCTACAAACAGAGCCCAGTGCCGTCAGCACTCTCCCTCAGCCTCCATTACCGCGGAGCTGAGGAGACGTGGCAGCGCACGGCGATGACGTCAGCTCCGCGACGGCCGCGAGCCCCCGCTGCGAGCTGACTCCCGGAACTACTCCCGCTGCCCCGAGCGAGCCCCCCGCCCCGCCTGCCTGCACCTGCGCAGTGGGACGCGCCTGCTCCGCGGGACTCCTGGTCCCGCCTTCCCAGCCAGGGCTGGTGGATGTCCATCCTCGTTGGGCCTCAGGGACCCAGTCCCTAAGCAGCGGTTCTCAACCTGTGGGTCGCGACCCCTTTGGCGGTTGAACAACCCTTTCACAGGGGTTGCCTAAGACCATCCTGCATATCAGATATTGACATTACGATTCATAACAGTAGCAACATTACAGTTATGAGGTAGCAACGAAAATAATTTTATGGTTGGGTCACAACATGAGGAACTGTATTTAAAGGGCCAGAAGGTTGAGAACCACTGCAGGGTCATTCTGGGAATCTCGTGGACTCCAAGTCACAGTTCTGCACGTTGTCGCTCCCGTTTTTTACAGATGAGGGAAGTTGGGAGACGTCACTAAGGTCACGTCACTGCTGAGTAAAGGAGCCCAGGTCGCACAGTCTTGCTTTAGCTTCCAGTCATGCTCTTATTGTAAAGGACTAGAGCTCACAGTCCAGTGGAAGAGACAGATTGTAACAATAAATGTTACAACGCTACAGAAAGTTACAATTTGTTAAAATAAATGCAACATTAATATTTGCCCCCAAGGTCCGGGAGAATAGCATGCAGACAGCCTTAATAAATTCCATGGGAGGGAGGTGGGGGGGGGGGGGTGTCTCCCCAGGAAAGCTTCACAGAGAGCTTGGGGTTTAAAACCAAGACTCCAAAGAATGCTCCTTGTTTGTATGTTCCTAAATAAATAAATAATAAAACCAAGACTCCAAGAATGACTTCTCCTACCAAGCGCCTGTAGAGGAATTGTCAGATAAGGCAAGGAGGTGGACAGCAGCATCATGAAATCAGAAACTGTCAGTAGTTTGGTATTAGAAGAGTAAAAGTGTCAAAAGGAGCACTTGTGTGAGATTTTAAGAGCCTTAAGAGAAAACTCTTTGTATTGGGTAATGACTAGTTAACCATTATCGAGAGAGTTCTTTTTGGCACCAGATACTAGACTTGTAGTTTTATATATGTCATTTAAGTCTCAATGCTTTGATGCTACCATTGTTCCTATTTTACAGAGGAAATTGAAGTTAGAAGACATGAATATACAAAAGCCAACACAGATACTTTCATCATATTCACCTGTAGGTGTAAGGAGTTTTGCGTATTTTAAAAAATGATTTCAGAGAGGAAGGGAGAGGGAGAGAGAGAGATAGAAACATCAATGATGAGAGAGAATCATCGATCAGCTGCCACCTACACACCCCCTACTAGGGATCGAGCCCACAAGCTGGGAATGTGCCTGACCAGAATTGAACCTTGACCTCCTGATTCGTAGATCAACGCTCAACCACTGAGACAACAAATGTTTTTTTATTTGTTCTGTAAACTGTTTCCTAGCTTGCTACATTGAAACTCCTTTGCCACTTATTTATTTAGTGACTATTATGGACTAGACATAGTGTTAGTGAACAAGACAGATATGTCTCTGCCCTCCTGCAGCTTGTATTCTAATGAGGAAAACATCTATTTAATAAATAAAATAATTAGAGATTGTGATAGGAAGGAAACAAAGGGGTGAGGTAGACAATAAGGAGGGTGCTATATTGAAGGGATATATCTGTCTAAAGGAATGACATTTCAACATGTTGGGAAGGAACCAGAGATGCAAAGATGGGAGAGAAAAGCAATCTAGATAGAAAGCAAAAGTTATGCAGAGATTCTAAGGTGGGTTAGAGCTTGCCATGTTTGAGGAACTTAACACAAAATTGTATAGCTAGGTCATGGTGAGCAAAGGGAAATGTGGTGTTAACAAATAATTTAACGTCCACAGCTGAAAGTCTTTTGTAAGAAAGGTTAATTAAAGAACCAAAATTGCTGGCCAAAAAAGAAGACTAGTCTTGGGACATGACCTCCATTACCTCAAAATTTTGCAAATTATACATCAAGAAGATGGTGGCGGGGATGAGGGCAGGGAGAAAGATGTAAGCTGTTCTGAAAGATTTACATTAGCTGTAGATAAAGACAATGGGAAAAGGGGAAGCAGAGTTAGTTCTGGGATGAGCTCAGCAGAATTTGCCAGGAAGAAGTGTCTGCTGCTGTGGATGAGCTGTAAGCAGCAGACTGGAAAATTCATGTGTTAATAAGTGGACAATTGTGGCAAATTGATGCAGCCATTATAGAAAACAGTATGTAAGGTTCTCAAAAATATAGAAATAGAACTATTTTGTGATCAAGCAATTCCACTCCTGGGTAATTATCTGAAGAAATCCAAAACACTAATTCAAAAAGATATATGTACCCCTACATTCACTGCAGCATTTTTTTTTTGAAGATCTAATTGGGTTTATTAAGCATTCCATTAATTGGGCAGCATCTCATTTAGCAATTAGAAGGCCCCCCCACCCCTGCTGCGTTATTTACAATAGCCAAGATATGGAAGCAACCTAAATGTCTGGATAAAGAAGATGTAGGTACATATATACAATGAAATATTACTCAGTCATAAAAAAGAATGAACATCCATTTGTGATAACATGGATGGACCTAGAGGGTATTGTGCTAAGTGAATTAAGTCAGAGAAAGACAAATACTGTACCATATGATTTCACTTATATGTGGAATCTAAAGAACAGAAATAAAACAGAAACAGATATAGATATAGAGAACAAACTGATGGTTGACAGATGGGAAAGGGGTTAGCAGGCAGGGTGAAAAAGGGGAAGGCATTAAGAAGTACAAACTGGTAGTTACAAACTAGTCACAGAGATATAAAGTAGAGCACAGTTATTGTAATCACTATGTATAGTGCCTGTTGGGTACTGAATTTATGGGAGAATCACTTCATAAATTATATAAATGTCTAATCACTATGCTGTATAGTTGAAACTAATATAAAATAATATTGAATGTTTGTAATTGAAAAAAAATGAATAATCATGGAAATAGCCACCTGGAAATTAATCCTAAATTCCAACAGATATATAAGAATATGAGCAGCCTTGTCAGAGCTGGTATACAACTATTAACAGGCTAACTGTTCTCTTTCGCTCACTGTAATTTTAACTTAGAACATCTCAGGATTTTTTTTTCTTGATAGTGGCATGAAATTAATTTGAAGACCACTAGGAGTTTGAACATGGAGGATCTTTTAAACCATAGTGTTTGCATGTTAAACTAGTGGCTGGCATAGGACCTAGAAATCTGTGATTTTTCACAAGCTCTAGGATTCTGGTACTTATTACACCTGGGACCCACTGGAATGAAATACCTTCCCTGTTAAGGAAATGAAACTATTATATGGATTCACATGCAGTGTGTTCCTCCTGTGCATAGGGGCCCACTTAACTCCCAACCTCACTGCCCTTCTTTCACAGAGATAAATACTGCAAAATTGCAGAAAATATTTTCATTGTAACCCAAGGCGATTTCCATTTTCTTCTGATCACAGAAAACCATACTTGTGGAAAAGAAAAGCTCTTTTGTTCAAGTTTTAAAAATTATTCTCCACTACAAGGGTGGACAAAAGTAGGTTTTCCGTGGCTCACATGGAAAATAATACCATAATAAATAATAATGCAAGAATAAGC